AGAGGCCGGATGCAAGAGTATGTAATTCTGTTTATATGACGTACAACACCCAGAAAACTAAAATATGCTACTAGAGGTCAGGACAGTGGTGACCATTGTGGGTAATGGGGCAGGAAGAGTGATGCTGAGCAGGGCCTGGAACTGAGCACAGCATGGAATCTGGGATGCTCATCGTATTCTGTGTCTTGATCTGGGTGCTGTTACGCAGGCATGATCAGTTAGTGAAAATTCATCAAGACTATATATATGTGTGTGTGTGTATGCGTGTGTGTGTATAATATATATACACACATACATTTTTTGTATGTGTATTATATTCACTTTGAAAACTCAAAAATTTGTACCAGCTCTTAAGAATTTATTTTCTAAGAGAGGAGACAAGATTACTATAGATAAAATCACCAAGGACTATATAAATTATAGAAACAGAATAGAATGTAAATAGTTAAATGTGCAATTATTTTAATCAGGACTCCATTGTATGTGCTAACATAAATCCTACTTAAACTTACCTAAAGCATATATTGAGTACATTGGCTCTCCCATATGAAAAATCTAGGAGGTAAATAGAGCTTCAAGTGTAATTATATAAAGGGGCCCAGATAGATGCATGATAGATAGATGGATGGATGGCTAGATAGATAGATAGATAGATAGATAGATAGATAGATAGATGATAGAAAGATTGATAGATGACAGAGAGATGATACCTGGATAGATGAAGATGACGATAAACAGATAATAGATAGATATAGAGATAGAGAGATAGATGATAGATGCATGGATGGATCGACAGACATAGATGATAGATAGATGGATGGATGGATGGATGGACAGACAGATAGGAGATTGGTAGCTAAATTCACCTTTTATCAATCCTCCCCTGTAAAGAAAGAAATCTGTTTCCTACAGGTCAATGTATAAAAGCTGTTTCTCTAGACCTCCAGGGTGTGCCCAGAAACCTTGTGAATACCAGCGACGATGCCCGCTGAGTGGCCCCCTCGCCACCACTGTACATTCATAGCCGTGCTGCCACCACACCTTTGCTGGTCTTGAACCTCTTATCCATCCTGGAAGTCCCAACTTGAGCCCCTATCCTTCCAAAGAGAACAGCAATCTCTTTGCCAAGGAATTCCCTTGTATTGGCAAGGAAAGTGACAACACAGGTTTTTTCTCCCCACTCCTCCCTTCCCCGGGCATAAAATGAGGCACATTCTTAACACAAACTTTCAGCAGAGCACAAGGACTGTGACCAAATGGGTCTGTCTCAGCTGTGTGAAGGGAGATTCCTGCAGATGTGTTGCCTGGGGCAGCGCCAGGCAGGGCAGCTTCCCAGGTGGGGAGCCTGAGCCTGCTTCCCACCTCTCCCCACCTCTGCCCACAGGGAAACCCGTGACCTGCAGCCAGGGCCAGAGGCTGAGAGGGAGCAGAATTGGGCCTCGGGGTTGGGCCGATAAATTGTGATGAAATTAGGAAAGAAAATTCGGAAAGAAAAACACTGCTGGCCCCAAACTCTGTTCTGACTGTGAGTTTATCATTTCAGTCAGACTTCTCAGGTAATGGATTGTACTTTTCCCCTTTCCAAGTGTTACAGGGAAAAGGGACAGTGATAAATGGTGTTAGTTTGTAATTTAACTATTTTGTTTGGTTTTCTTTTCCTTCCAAGTTCTGCAGCATCACATCACCAGCGCCCCGGGAGCCTCTGATGGAGGGGAGCCTTTTTTTTTCTTTTGTAATGCTGCCCTCTGCTGGACATTAGGAAATTCACAGGCGAAGATTGGGGCTGTCTCCCAAGTTTTGTTTGGAATTGATTTTGTGCTTCAGTCCAAGATTGTTTGGGGAAAAAAAAAAAGAAAGAAGATGAAGAAAGGATTTTCTGTAAAAAAGTAAATTGTTTAATTTACACTAAGAAAGTAATTAGATACTTTATGTTTCACAACGATGGAGAAGCAGAGGTGACTGTGAACTACACGTACCTGTGTTGCTGAGGAGGATGAGGAGATGTGACCCCTTAGGGAAGTGAATGTGTAGATCACAAGGAGACAGTTTAAAAAGGGCACGACCTTTGACCCGGTCTGTCTCCTCCTGCAAATCCAGATGCCAGAAATCATTTTAAAAGTAAAAACACGCATTCCCAAAGTTGCTCATCAAATTTTGCCCATGAATGTCCAGGAGCAGCTGGTGGCTAAAGAGACTGTGATGGAGCCACATCGGGCAGATATGAAAGCTGATTTCTTTTTTTAACGTCCTCCAGCAAAGTGGAAAATACATATGCCACACTATTAAGACTCAGCAGTTCATAATCAGGGGTGTACATCGAATGCCTAGAAACTGAAAATACAGATTTCCAGGTCCCATCCAAGAAGATTCTGCTCCTGTTGGACTGGGGAGTGGCCTGGGCATTGAAATTTAGGAAAAGCCCTCCAGAGCCTCTTCTGCTTACACCCCATAGAAAACCCAGAATTCAGTGAAAAAAAGCAGGATGCCAAGTGACATTTATATTTCAACTCTAATTCGACAAAACACCTGATTGCATGTGGACGGGAACAAGCAGGGAAGAGGCCCCTGTATCTGGAGGACTTGGAAATATGCTCCCTCTTGCAAGGCACCCATTAAAATCAGACCCATATTTGAGGATGCTGGGACTGCGAGCAGGATGTAAATAATATGTGTAATGCAATTTAATACAATAGCATTTTTTAAATGAGTTGAGTCGTGTTTTCAAGCTGTTAGTTCCATCAAATATCAATGTGGACATCCGCCTCCCGCAGCTGCAGAGGAAACAATTCCCAGCTTCCTCGCATGTGGCTCAGTCCCTCTTCCTAGAGCCATAAAGTGACCACACACTGTGACCCACCTCCCACAGCCAGCTAAACCAGAAACAACCCAAGAGCCTTGGGCCATCTGCTGAGGGAGGAGGGCCGCATGGCAGGAAGAGTCCTGCTCTGGAGAGACAAGAGACTCAGGGCCTGGCTGTGACTTGCTGCTGACTCACCGCGTGATCTTGGGTGACTGTCTTCACCACTCCCCAGATTACTGTAACATGAGAGGTCAGGTGTTCAAACTCAAACACCTGCAGGGTCAGGGAATATCAGTGAGTGAAATAGGCCAGGCACAAGACAAAAGGGAACAGTGAGGACTGTGGAAAGTTGAGAGCTCACGCCTTTGTAAAGGGAGTAGCCACCACTCAGTTCCTGCAGATCAGTTGTCTCTGAGGGTCACTGGGAACAGTTATGCAGGTTGTGCATTGTACAAGGGCAGTACCTCAGAGGTGTAGTTCACATCACAGATGTAGATATTTATCAATGACAGTTTCCTGGAAGACATCTGTAGAGGGTCTTGAGGAAAGGATATATATATATATATTTTTTTTTGGGTGAGGAAGATTAGCCCTGAGCTAACATCTGTTGCCAATCCTCCTCTTTTTGCTGAGGAAGACTGGCCCTAACATCCATGCCCATCTTCCTCTACTTTATATGGGACGCAGCCACAGCATGGCTTGACAAGTGGTGCATTGGTGCGCACCCGGGATCTGAACCTGTGATCCCCGGGCCACCACACTGGAGCAAGCACACATAACCACTGCACCACCAGGCCGGCCCCAGGAAAGGATATCTTCTAATTGCACAAATGTGCTGGATGGGCTGTCAGAAGCCCTGGTTGCCATGTGGGAATGCAGCTCCAATGTTGCCAAATCTTTTTTTTTCTGGAGAACCTGGAAATATGGCTGTTAACATGAAATTTCCCTAATTTAAAATTAGCTAGAAACTAATTCCAAAGCATTTTTGACCTTGAATGGGATAAACATTACACTTCTGGGGGCCAGATGCAGGCTATGATTGGAGATCTCTGACCCAGATGACTCTCAGTTACTGACATCTCAGAAACCCTAGTATTCTCTGCTCCTCATGGGTAATCTTGCAGCAATCACAAAGAAAAACTAAACATCTTGGTAAATTGTATGGACATAATATGGATGATGTGGATATAATATGGATTTTATAGATATAACATGAATTATATGGATAAATTAAAAGGGATTATATGGATATAATAGGGATGATATGGTTATAACAGTGATAATAAGGATATAACTGGGGTTATATGGTTATAATAGGAATGATATGGATATAATAGGTATTATATGGATATAATATGAATTATGTGGAAATAATATGAATTATATGGATATACTAGGGATTCTGTGGATATAATAAGGATTATATGGATATGATGGGGAGGATATGGATATAATAGGGATTCTATGGATATAATAGGGATTCTATGGTTATAATAGGGAAGATGTGGATATAATAGGGATGATATGGATATAATGGGTTGATATGAATATAATAGGGACTATAAGGATATAATATCCATTATATGGATATAATGGGGATTATAAGAATATAATAGAGATTATATGGATATAATAGGGGCAATATGGATATAATAGGGATCATATGGATAAAATAGGGATTATATGGTTATAATATGGATTATATCGATATAATAGGGATGATATGTACTGGGGATAATACAGATATAGTGGGAATTGTATGGATATTACAGGGATTATACAGATATAATGGGGATAATGTGTATATAATGGGGATTATGTGGATATAATAGGGATTCTATGGATATAAAAAGTAAAAGTGCATCTTTTGAATGATGGTACATACAACATTCTCCCTATCTATCATCTGGTTAATTTTAGTTCATCTTTTCTTAAGGTAAATGTTATTTTTCCAGAGAGAATCTCCTAAGACTACAATCTAAATTAGGTTCCCCTGTTACACTTTCTTAAAATACCTTATGTTTCCTGAGTGAACTTACCAATTTTACATCAAAAGATAGTCACTTGTGTGAATGTTTTCTTACTGTCTGTTTGCTCACCACTTGGTGGAGAGCATTTCTTTGCTCACTATTGTATCCCCAGGGGGCATATGCCTGATACATATCAGACACCCAATGTAGATTTATTGAATGATGGATTAACATTGACCCCATCAGGGAAACATCTTTTCTCCTTGTCGTCCCTGACCTGACCTGACCTTGCTGCCTGGCATTTGACTTCTCAGTTCCTGACTTTGGAGGACATCTGGCTTCTACTGCTGAGAAGGAGGATCTCCAGCATGCCCCCCTCTGCCACCTGTTTCCTGTGCCCAAGAAGAGACCCAGCTCAAACCAGTGATGTTCAGGACGTCCATGCTTGCCTTGTGGCTGAAACCCACCTATATTGGGGTTGGAGGACTCACGTTTCAGGTAACACACAGACACCTTCTCTGATAGAAAGTCCACTTCATCCCGGATGTTGGGGATGGGGTGGTGGGAGAGTATTCAGCCCAAAATTAAATTCTGTTCCCTGTACATATTTTACATTCTGATTTTATTTCACATGAGTAAAAAAGTCATTATTATGCCCACCAATAGGCCAGCCCTCCTGCAGATTTATTGAAAAAATCTGGTAGCTATCCAAGGCAAACTGCATTTTTTAATGCTGAAAAGAATTCCCTAAGCATCATTCCCAAGTCCATAAAACATCAGCAAACACAGCTGATTCTACAAAGTAGCTAAACACAGAATGAAACTAATGATTGCAGGAGAAATTGCTGAAGGAGAAGGAAAACCACAATCACACAGAGATAACTTCTCAAGGAGAAAAAGTGAAAAAGACAGGCAGGAGCAGAGAAAGGAAGATCAAGGAGGAAAGAGGACTGAGGAGCGCTCCAGAAGTGGACATTATCAGGGGGAGGGTATCCACCCAAAACTCCACCTCCAGCTCCTTCAGACTCTGTCCCACGCTCATGTTCAAGTCCAGCTGCAGGTACTGCTCGGTCTGAATATAGGCCGGCCACAGAGGCAGACCTTCCCCGTTAGGATCGCTGGAAGTGAGAGCAGGAACAGCGGTGAGGTTCTCATCCTCAGACACCTGGTTGTGGGGGAAGCTGGGAGGTTTACTTACCCGGTCCGAGCAAAGTTAGCCCAGTATCTCATCATCTTCCTGCTCAGCACCTTCTCCTCCTCTGTGGCTCCTTCTGATGGAGAAAATCACAAAACCCGGCTCTCACAATGATGCCCAGACCCCAAGATGCCTCACATTTGATGAGTCACTTTCACACTCTCCCCACCTTGGATCCTCACCAGCCTACCAAGTCACTGTGCTCATTCTGTACATGCAGATACTGAGACTCAGAGCAGCCCTGAGTTGCCCAAGGAATCCTGGCTTCCAAAGGGCAGAGGCTGAACCCACATCTTCCCTGTCACCCAATGCTCTTCCGGCCATTCCCATGAGGCTGCAATGCCTTGGGACAGAGACCATGTCTCCATCTCTCTCTCAGACAATTAACTAATTATTGCATTTCTTTACTTGAAAAAGTAATACTTGCTCAAAGTACAAAATCCAAAATGCGGGAAGAGTGTATCTAATGAAAATAAGTTTCCCTCCCATCTTGTCCCTCCAGACACCCAGCTTCCAGCCTCTGATGCAACCATTGATACCAGCTTCGTGAGCGCCCTCTGCAGGCGGATGAGACGTGTGCAAGGGTCTAAGCAGACAACTTTTTACATACTCAGTATAATAAGGACACATATCCTGCATCTTTCTCTCTTTACTAAAATTGTATCTAGGAGATAGTTCCACATTGTGCCCTATAAAGCCTATAGACACACTCCATGTGAGAGGCTCTGTCCTCATCATCCAGAGGCCAGCATGAAATGGGTAAGAGCCTGTTTTGTGTAATTTTTTAGCTAAATATTTTAGCGATATCTCCTTTGTGCAGTTCCTATAATTTTTTCTATTGATAACCTCATCTGAGTCACTTCTTATTTTAGGCATAGAACAGGTCGTAAATTCGGGAATAAATGAGCTAACCTCATAGTAACAGTTCACAAGCATTCACAATAGATCTTCTGGATCCAGACCACTTTGGGCTGGAATTATGAAAAACACGATTCTTGCCTTTTAAAGCCCTGGGTCATAGCCTCATGGGAATTCTGGGAAGTGCCGGTGTGACCAGGGAACCAGGCAAAGAAAGAGTTACTGAGGATCTGGTCAACAACTAACATGGGTCTGTCAAACGTTTTTCAGACAAGAAGAAACTGTGTTCTGTTTTGCAGAAATTGATATCCCCATTTTGCAGATGTTGCTATCTTGCCGAGAAACTCAAATATTTGCAGCAAGACCCCTGCAAAATGCTCCAGCACCAAGTGTCCTAAAGTTACCATAACTCATTAGCATCTTAAATTCTCCTCCTCTGGGAGGGCCCAAACAGCCATTTTTAGAACATGTTTACCTGCTATCCATGTGTCCTAAATGAACATAGTTGTTACACAGTTGTTACAAATAAACCTGTTATCCTCTGCTCTTGTGTATAGTCTCCACCAGCACTGAGCTCAGAGAAACACTGCTTTGGGAGCTATCCCTGGTGTTCTCCATTGCTTGTGCAAGCAAAACCCTTCTTCACCTACTTCTGCCTTGGTTGTGCTCTTTGGCTCTGCACTCACCAAGAGACGAACCCATTGAGTTCAGTTACACAGGGAGGGTAAGACCAGTGGTCAGAGAAAAAGAAGAAAGTGATCCTAATTTTCAGGGAAATTAGATGCATGTGTCCCTAAGTGCCCACCCCAATAGGCTTTAGTACAAAGAGAAATACTCATCAAGCAGATGTCAGCAGCTCTTTTTCATCTTTGTCTCTAAAACCGTGAGTAGGGGGCATTTTCCAGGGAAAGGTTGTGTCTATAAACCATTCATTAAATCCAACCAACCAGTCTTCCCAGGCTCTTGTGTAGTGTTGGGGCCAGTGAGGGGCTTCATCCTCAGTGTGGAGTAGTGTCTTCTCCCCAGGTCATGCCAAGCTCATGTTCCTGCAAGAGCAGGAGCCCCTGAGGCCAGTTCCTTACCGAACATGACAATGTCACCCTTCAGGAAGGCACCTCCAAAGACAAAACGGATTTCATCGGTGTGATCGGCTTTGATGAAAGCTGGCTTCACATCCTTGAAGAAATGGGGCCGATGCTGAAACTCGTAGAAGTAGACAGGTGCACCAGCATCTGCAGAAAGTAGGAGAGGACTCTGGCAGGCATGCAGCGTGGAGCAAGGGTGGCCCTACATCCCCATCCATCTAGTCCTGGATTCTCAGACCCACGGGTGGGACAGCCCAGGGACAACAGGTGTCCCAAACCAAGCTAACTTCCCTCTTCCTCATCTGAGGCCAGCATTTCCTGCTATAGCAGCCCTCACTTCTCTTATGACAAACAGCTCACTAGCCCTCAGGCAGCCTGAGAGGGCAATAGTTCTACTTCTCTAAGAAACCTTTCATACTGAGCCAAGATCTACCTACTTGTGACTTCCTTTCACTGACTCTGGTTCAACTGTCTGAAGACAAAGGGAACAAAGTTATTCCCTGCTTCCAAGACACTCCACGCATCCTACATTCCTTCACCTCTCTTCTACCAAAGGTCTTTGCGCTGTAATTTCCCCCTCCCTGCCTCTTTCTCTGCATCATCAATTTCCCTCTACTGGATCATCACCATCAGTAGTAAACATGCTTACAAAATCTCCCATTAAAGCATACACAAAAAGATGTGCATGCACACACATACACAAGCATGGGAACACAGACAGGCACACACATGGACACACACACACATACATACTCTTGGTCTCAGTTTCTCCTCCAATTACTGGCTTATTTCTCTAAATCCCTTCTAGCAAGACCCCACAATACAGTTGCCTTATACTCACTGTCTAGGCTTCCTCTCCTCTCATTCTCTCTCTCATTTTTTTATTGATGTCATAATATTTTATAACATTGTGAGATTCCAGTTGTACATTATTATTTGTCAGTCACCATATAAATGCGCTCCTTCACCCCTTGTGCCCACCCCCCAACTCCCTTCCCCCTGATAACCACCAAACTCTTCTCTCTCTCTGTGTTAGTTTATATTCCACATGTGTCTCTCTCACTTTTAATTGAAGTATCATTTATGGACAAAAAAAAGCACAGATTTTAGGTGTACAATTTGATGAGTTTTTACAAATGTATACACATTCATGTAACCACCTCCTCAATCAGGATTTCTACAAAAGAACATTTCCAACATCCTAGAAAGTTCCCTTGTGTCTCCTTCTAGTCACTCTACCAAGAGATAATCACTGTTTTCATTCCTATCACCGTAGATTAATCTTGCCTGTTCTTGACCTCCACATAAATGGAATAACACAGTATGTCCTCTTCTGTGTCTCACTTCTTTTGCTCAGCGTAAGGTTTTTGAGATTCATCCACATTGTTGCGTGTATCAATAGTTGATTCCTTTTTATCACCAAGTATTCCATGAATACACCACAATTTATTGATCCATTCACCTGATGATAGACATTTGGGTTCTTTCCAGTTTGAGGCTGTTATGATGAAAGTTTCTATGTATAGCCATAGATAAGTCTTTTGTGTGGACAAATGCTTTCACTCCTCTTCCATGAATACGTTAAGAGTAGAATGGTTGAGTAATGCAGTAGGTATACATTCAACTTTATAAGAAACTGACAGTTTTCCAGAGTGGCTGTGCTATTTTCCCCACACAAATACATGATAGTTCTGAATATACCACATCCTTGGCAATACTTCTTGGTATGGTTTGTGCTTTTAATATTAGCCATTCTAGTATGTGTAAATGGTTTCCTCATTTGGGGGTTTATTTTGCATTTTCCTGATGACTAACAATGTTTGAGCACCTTTTCATGTGCTTTTTGGCTTTCACATATCTTTTTTGGTGAAGTATCATTTCAAGATTTACTCATTTGTAATGGGATTTTTTGTCTTTCATTATTGAGCTTTTAATGTTCTTCTGTTCTAGATATGAAGTTTTTGTCAGATAAGTGTATTGTGAATATTTTCTTCTAGTCTGTGGCTTGCCTTTTCATTTTCTTAACAGCATTGTTTTTTGGGTAAAATATACATAACATACAATTTATAATATTAACCCTTTCAAAGTGTGTAAATCAGTAGATTATAGTACATTCAGAATATTGTGCAACCATCACCACTCACTAGGTCCAGAACATTTTCAGCACCCTAAACAGACCCATTAAACAAGTCACTTCTCATTTGCCCCTCCCCCTATCTCCTGGAAACCAAGAATCTACTTTCTGTGTCTATGGATTTGCCTATTCTGGACATTTCATATAAATGGAGTCACACATGTGGCCTTTTGTGTCTGGCTTCTTTCACTTAACATAATGCTTTCATGGTTCATCCATGTTGTAGCATGTATCAGTATTTCATTTCTTTTTATGACCAAATAATTATCCATTGTATGTATATACCACACTTTGTTTATCCATTCATCAGTTGACGGACCTTTGTTTTGTTACCACTTTTTGGCTACTCTGAATAAGGCTGCTAAGAATATTCACGTACAATTTTTGTTTGATCATCGGTTTTCAATTATCATGAGTATATCCCTAGGAGTGGAATTGCTTGGTTATATGGTAATTCTATGTTTAACTTTTTGAGGAACCACCAAACTGTTTTCCACAACAGGCGCACCATTTTACATTCTCACCAGCAGTATATGAGGGTTCCAGTTTCTCCACATTCTCAATAACACTTGTTATTTTCTATTTTTTTGTTTTTTGTTATTTTATGATGGCCACCCTAGTGGGTGTGAAGGGGTATCTCATTGTGGTTTTGATTTTCATTTCCCTAATAGCTAATAATGTTGATCATCTTTTCATGTGCTTGTTAGCCATTTGTATATCTTCTTTGGAGAAATGTCCAATCAATCCTTTGCCCGTTTTGAATTGAGTTGTTTGTTTTTTGTTGTTGTTGAGTTGTAAGAGTCCTTTACATATTCTGAATAACAGACCCTTATCAGATATATGATTTGAAAATATATTTTCCTAATCTTTGGGTTACTTTTTCAAGTTCTTTCTAGTGGCCTTTGATGCACAGTAATTTTTAATATTGATGAAGTCAATTTATCTAATTTTTTTCTTTTTTGATTATGCTTTTCATTTTATATCTAAGAATCCATTGCCAAATCTGAGGTCATGGAAATTTACCTCTATGTTTTCTTCTAACAGGTTTGCAGTTTTTGTTCTTACATTTAGGTCTTTGATCCATTATGAGATAATTTTTGTATATAATGTGAAGGTAGGGTCCAACTTCATTCTTTTGCATGTGGTACCCATTATGCCTGCACCGTGTGTTGAAAAGACATTATTTTCCACCATCAAATGGTCTTGGCAGCTTTATCAAAATCACCTGACCATAGATATATAGGTTTATTTCTGGACTCTCAATTCTATTCCATTGATCTATATGTCTATCCTTGTGCCAGTACTACACCCTCTTGATTGCCATTGTTTTGTAGTGAGTGAGTTTTGAAATCTAGAAGTGTGAATCTTCCAACTTTCTTCTTCTTTTTCAAGATTATTTTGGCTATTCTGGGTCCCTTGAAATTCCATATGAATTTTAGGATCAGTTTGTCCATTTCTGCAAAAAAGGAATTTGGCATTTTGATAGGGATTGCATTGAATTTCGGGAGTACTGTCATCTTAACAACACTTAGTCTTCCAATCAATGGACATGGGATGTTTTCCCATTTATTCTTTAATTTCTTCCAACAATGTTTTGCAGTTTTCAGTGTAAAAGTCTTGTAGCTCCTTGATTATATTTATTCTTCTTGGTTATATCAATATAAATTAATTTATATTGAGAATAGATAGTTTTGCTTCTTTCTTAAAATGTTGGATTGATTTTAATTTTTTTTCTTGTCTAATTGCTCTGGCTGGAACTTCTAGTACAAGGTTGAATAGAATTGGTAAGAGGAGACATCCGTATCTTGTTCTCAATGTTTGAGGGGAAACTTTCAGTCTTTTTCCATTAAGTAAGATACCAGCTGTGAGTTTTCATGGAAGCCCTTTATCATGTTGAGCAAGTTCCCTTCTGTTGCTAGTTTGTTGAGTGTATTCATCATGAAAGTATGTTGGATTCTGTGAATGCTTTTTCTGCATCTATTAAGATAATCATGGGGGTTTTTTCCTCTGTTCTATTAATATGCTATATTATAATGATTGATTTTTATATGTTGAACCATCCTTACATCCTTGGGATAAATTTCAATTGGTCATAGTATATAATCCTTTTAATATGCTACTAGATTCAGTTTGCTAGCATTTTGTTGAGGATTTTTACATCTATACTCATAAGGGATATTGGCCTGTATTTTTCTTTTCTTGTGATGTCCTTGTCTGCCTTTACTATCAAGATAATATTGGCCTCAGAGAATGGGTTAGGAAGTGTTCCCTCCTCTTTCACTTTTTTGAAAAGGTTGAGAAAGATTGGTTTTAGTTCTTCTTTATATGTTTGTTAGAATTCACCAGTGAAGCCAACTCATCCTGGGATTTCCTTTGTTGTCAGGTCTTTGCTTACTGATTCAATATCTTTATTTGTTATAGGTATATTCATGTTTTCTATTTCTTTCTGAGGTGCTTTTGGTAGTTTGTGTGTTTCTAGGAATTTTCTAATTTCATCTTGTTTGTTGCCATACAACTGTTCATAGTAGTGTCTTATAATCCTTTTTATTTCTGAATGTCTGTGGTAATGTCACCACTTTCACTCCTAAATTTAGAAATTTGAGTCTTCTTTATTTCTTTCTTGGTCAGTCTGGCCAAAATTTGTCAATTTTGTTGATTTTTTCAAAGAACCAACTTTTGGGTTCATCCATTCTCTCTGTTGATTTCCTATTCTCTATTCCATTTATCTCTGTTCTAATCTGGATTATATTTTTCCTTATGGTTGCTTTGTTTTTACTTTGCTCTTCTTTTTCTAGTTCCTTAAGGAGAAAGGTTAGGTTATTGATCTGAGATCTATCTTCTTTTTAATGTACAGATTTATAGCAAAAAAATCCCTCTAAGCACTGCTGTTACTGTGTCCCATTAGTTTCAGTATGCTATGTTTTTGCTTTCATTCATCTCAAAGTATTTTCTAATCTCCCTTGTGATTTCTTCTTTGACCTATTGATTGTTTAAGAGTGTATTGTTTGTTTAA